GGTTGGAAGGGACCTTTGGAGGTCATCTAGTCCAGTCAACTTCTCAAGAGCAGGTCCAGTTAGATCAGATTGCTCAGGCCCATGTCTGGGGAGGTTCTGAGTAACAATTAGAATGGAGATTACACACAACTTCTCTGGACCTCCGTCTCAGTGTTCAACCTTCCTTGGTACAAAGAAATTCTTTCTTCTAATTTACCAGAATTTTCCTTCTTGTAACTTTTGTCTGTTGCTTTTCACCCTTCTGTTCTGCACCTCTGAGAAGCATCTGGCTCTGTCTTCTTGAAAAACTCACTATGTAAATGATGACAGAAATACACTATTAGTTGTCTTATCTCAAGGCTGACCAAACCCAGCTCTCAGCCTGGTGTAACTGCTGAGTCATGTGCTCCAGCTCTCTGAGCATCCTACTCTCCTTCCACCATACTTGCTCTAGAATGTCAGTGTCTTTCTAACACCCTCTAGGTGGTACTTCCAGCTCTGAGATATCATTGCAGTATATGATGTATCTCTGTCCTGAATATTATTGTGTTTATTTTCAACCTGGTTTTAATAATGGAGCAGTGTAGTTCAACAAGAAAAAGATCTACAACCACAGATCTTAGATGTGAATTTTCATAGCCTATTTCCTATCTCCCAGGAAGTTCTTTGGTTTCATTACGTAATCATCTAAACAGTGCTTTAAAAATATTTTAGAAGCTGTAGTTTGTGTAGGCAAACTGCAAACAAAGGCTGCTGTAACTCATGTTTCTAGTGTTCTACTGAAAACTGCACTGGTTATAACTTCATGGCAGTGTAACTAGATTTCTGGTGAAGAGCTCATGCTTTTCACTCATTATATTGGTTTGGCTTTCTTTTCCCAGCTGTGAGTGAGTTTTTCTCTGCCAGCTGTGTGCCTTCAGCTGAGCAGGACAGTTACCCATCAAAACTCTGTCAACTATGTATTGGAGATGGTAGTGGAAACAATAAATGCAGTGCAAGTAGCCAAGAGCGTTACTACAGCTACAGTGGAGCCTTCAGGTAATTAATATGTACGGTTGTTTATTTAGTCTATCAGCTTGTCAAAATGCAAGGAGGATCTGTTTTTAATTCCAGTCAGCAACAAGTGGTTATCATTGCCACAGTGGGTGGCACGTCCTGTAAATTAAGTGGGACATGTGTCCTCAGATGTCTTTAGCAGTACAGGTATGTCATAAGGCATTAGATCATGTTAAAGCCTTTTGCTAGCTTCCTGGCCCACAGCCAACCAGATGACCAACAACCAAATCCGTATGTCTATTTACAAAGCAGCAGACACCCACCTAGTGAGGACCAAGCAGATTGTCATGAGTCTCCAGTCTTGCTTTAATCTAGTGTGACAGACAGTCTGCCACTCTGAGTGCTCAGGTCATGCATAAAGAGCTTTAGCAGGGAAGCAGGCAAATAGAAACCAGAATCTGGCTGCTTAAAGTCCATGATGAGTGATGGGGAGCCAGAACCTGGGTCTTCCCTACCTGTTACTCATTGGTGGCTGTATTGAAGGCAGGTTTTCGAACAACACAAGCAGCTATGGCCAATGTTCAGATATCAAATCCTCTTCAAAACAATGTGTGTTAAAGGTACAGGGGGAAACAGTATAAAATGAAATAAATACTTTATGTAACAGTTGGACATGTGTATATGGGACCATACCCAAGGACTATGAAACTCTTAAGATATGGAAGAAGCACTTCCTTTTCCTGACCTGCACCTCTGAAGGTCACGGTGCATGTAACTGCTGGCAGCAAGCAGTCTTCTTCCTGCAGCGTAGGAGACTTCAGCAGCAGCTGCCTGGCAAATATGGAAGTGCTAGACATAGGTGACTACTTTTTACAGATCTGTTTAGCTGTGTCCAGCTGCTCTGCTGGGGCACATGCCTTGCAGGCAAACTCCAGATCCTCTGCTGTACTTCACAGATTAACAGAGCTAGCTACCAGTCATCAAATCAAAAGGCAACAAGGGCTGGTTTTGCTTATTAACTTTGCAGGAATTTATGTAAAAAAGAAAAAAAAAATTGAATTTTAAACCTGTCAGTTACTAAGAAAAAAGCAGTTCACATGAAAACACTTTGAATTAAATTTTTTCATCTTATTTCCTACAGGTGCTTGGCACAGGGCTCTGGGGATGTGGCCTTCGTGAAACACTCGACAGTGTTTGAGAACACAGATGGTACTTAGTTCTACCTATCTATTATAATTGTTATTTTTCTTGAGTTTCTTTGCTCTAAAGCATTCAGTGAGTGACAGTGGCTAATTTCTTTTTCTTAGGTAAAAACACTGATAGTTGGGCCCAAAACTTGAAGTCCAGCGATTTCCAGTTACTGTGTCCAAATGGTGCCCGTGCTGAAGTCACCCAGTTTGCTGAGTGTCACCTGGCTCAGGTGCCAGCTCAGGCTGTTATGGTTCACCCAGACACCAGCGTTTTTGCCCTGTATGGACTACTGGACAAAGCCCAGGTATTAACAACCCATTTATTCTATGGGAGAGTTATATATGGTCTAAGACAGATCAAGGATAAAGACAACAGGACTATACTGCCATATTACGATGCCTGCATCATGGCACTGGCAGCATCTCCGCTGCACAGAGTCCTTTTGTTTGAGTGGGATGGAGAAGGTAAAATACAGCCCATGTAACTCTTGTAGTAAAACCACCCTGCTGCACAAGGGATTTATTTTCAGTTTTTTGCCCAGCCACTGGTTTCAGTAGTAATTTTCATGGAGCTGGACATGTTTTCCCAAACTGCATGACTTTGAAATCTACAAGAAATTGAGTACATGCTAACACTTCTTCCATCCTGGAATTTTCCTAGGACTGCAACAGAATGTTGCTTGGTATGCTTAAGCTGCAGCCATGTACAGGGTAAACCATTTAGTAATATCATGCCTGGCTGCCACAGCTACGTTCCTGTCAGTACTGAAATTAACCAGTTTAAAAGCAATACTGAGTATCTCCATGTTATGCTTCAATAATTTCTGTAACTCCTGTGCAGCCAAACCATCTATTACACAATACTTAGGTTTTTTGTTGTTGTTTTTTTTTTTTTTAATACAGCCGCTTCCAGATACTAACTGAAAAAAACACAAAATCACAAATGCTGTTCTTGTCATTGCCAGTGGCAGAATTCTGTATTAATCTACTGGAGCGTCTAAAAGCAAACACATAAGAGAGATCCTGCAGTTGTGCATGAATATTTCACCTACAGAACAGTTCTTATCATCTTTCATGTTGTCTGAGGGGAATGTGGCACCTTGTGTTGCTTGCAAAATGCTGAAATTTTTGCTTTGTTTTCAGGTCTACTTTGGAAATAGCAGCAATGGAAATGGATTCAAAATGTTTGATTCTGCAGCTTTTCAAGGAAAAAACTTGATCTTTATGGATTCTGCTGTTGCAATCGTGCCAGTAGGAGAGAGGAGGACATATGCAGAATGGCTGGGGAGTGAATATATTGAGTCCCTTGAAGGGATGCAAACACCACAGTGCTCTGGAGCAAGTAATAAGATAAGACAATACCTACTCATGGCTACTGTCATTCCCCTACTTATTTTATGTCAGACACAATGCTCAGACTAGCGTGGTCCAAATAGTAACACCCAGACCACCTCTGCCCTACCACCTTTTGTTCGTAGCAGCCATTTGGATAATACATTGTGCTGACATTCGAATGCCTCTTCCTGCCTCTTGCAGGGCACGTGCTAACAGCACTTGCTTGTCAGGAGAGTGGGCTGGGGCTGGAAGCTGCCCCTGTCTGCGTGGATGGGGTGGGATTTGGGGCAGAGGCCAGCAATGCAGTGTCAGCGTGGTTTACAAGACCAGTCAAAAACTGGGGCATCTCTGCCTTTTTTTGCTCATGTTGAACCACCCCTGGCTGGAGGATTCCCAGGTGGTGTTAGATGAATACCGAGTTTCTGGCCTGTAGAAGAATTTCTGCATCTTGGAGAGCTTTATCAAAAATCTTGTTTAGTGAATTCCATCTGGCCTCTTGGCTGGTTATGTTCAGACTCCTACATCCCTGCTTATCCTATCCTACCCTTGCTGGGGGCAGCAGCTCCTCCTGAGCTCTGCTGCCAGAAGAGGCAAGTGCCCAGACGACAGGCTCTGGACAGAGACAACCTGCAGTCCAGAACACAGCTTCAGCCACAGGCAAGGCCCCCCCCTTCCAGCAGAAGAATGTAGGGGGAATCTCTAAAGTCAGTGGATGACAAGGCCACGGATTCTTGGAGGGCACCACCTGTTGGCAAAGAACAAAGCCAAATGTGTGCATCCACTGAGCTTGCTGACTTTCCTCAACCAATACTCACTGCTTGGGAGAGATGACTGTGACCTTCAATTTGATGCAGTCTCCATCAAGAAACTTGTATTTGTCCTCCTTCTGTCCACGTAGGGTTACCTTGAGTGCCCGTGCATGAAACTTGTATTTCACTGTCAGTGAAAACGGTTCACGTTCTGATTAACAGTTTCTGTATTTACTGGCTTGTAGCATTCAGGTTTTATCCATAGCTGCAATAACAACAGCTGTTGCTGTGTTGCTGGCAGGCAGGATCCTCCTCACTACGGCTACTACCCCATGATCCTGGGATCAAAAGACATTCAGTGTAATAAAAAACTTACAGAACCAGATGATAATAATAATGTAAATAAGCGAAATTAACAAATAAACGTGAGAATTATCGTTCATCCGGACTTCAGCCTGATCCCTAAACTCCTCTTTTTCCTCACTGTTCTGGGAAATGACCAGGTGCCCACTGCTTCCCTGCCCTCGGCTGATGCAGGGCAGAGCTCGGCCGCCCCGGTGGTCGGTTTGGCTGCGGGGCTGTGCCGCAGCCCCAGACCCCGGTTACTGCCAGATTCTCGCCCAGATGTGACTGCTCCCGTTTCCCCTCTCACGTTTTCGGCCGCTTCTGCTCCGGTTGGTGTCCCGGGCGCACTGTACCGCCGCCGCACCGGCGGGGCGAAGGGTGCTGCGCATGCGCGGGGTGTCCGCTGCTGCGCCTCGGCTAGAGCGCCCGCGCGCCCCCTGGCGGCGGCGGCTCAGTGTCTGTGTCCCCGCAGCCCGGCATGGGGGCCAGGGAGCTGTGGGCGCTCCTGGCCGCGCTGCGGGCGGGCTGGTGCCTGCTGCCGCAGGCCGGCTACCTGCACCCCGACGAGTTCTTCCAGTCGCCCGAGGTGATGGCAGGTAAGGCGGCGGGCGGGGCTGGGGCGGGGCGGGGCGCTGGGCCGCGGCCCCTCAGCGGGCGGCGGCGGCACGGACGGTTCCGCCCGCTCCTCTCCGGTCGGCCGTGGCTCGGGGTGGCGACGGCCCCCGGGTGGGGGTGCGTGGCCCCCGGCAGCCCCACAGCGGGGGCTCCGCGGAACAGCGGCATACACGGGCGCGTAGCCGGCTCTTACCGGCGCTGGGACGCGGCCCTTCCTCTGCGGCAAACCGCCCGCCGCCGCTACAGCGCGGCTCCTGCGGCAGGGCAGCGGCGGGCTAGCCGGCCGGGGGTGCTGCTTCTGCCGTGCGCTGCCCAAGGCAAGCGGCGCCCGGAACCCTTCCACCCAAACGGGGCTTACCTTCTGTTCTTGAAAAACTGTAAAAAACAGTTGTACCCTCCTAAACGTTTCAAGGTTGACTCCCGCCTCAGAAGTTCAGGGCCTGCTCTGCATCATGATGTCTCTCATACTGAGTTGTATCCGTAATGCTGAATTACTAAATAAAATATATTATGTATCTATGTATTTTTTTCTTCCTTTATAGGGGATATTTTAAACCTACAAGTCTATTACCCTTGGGAGTTCCTTTCCAGCTCTCCTTGCAGGACAGTTGTTTTCCCGCTGATGACTTCTGGCATTACCTACTGGGTGATCAAGTCTTTGCAGCAGCTGGACATATGTTCAAGTTGCATCAACAGCTACACCCTTCTTGTATCACCTCGCCTTCTCTTTACAATCTTTTCTTTCATACTTGACTATAGTGTTTATCGATTAGCTCCTTCCTGGGAAGCAGATCGGTGGAAAGCACTGGTGCTTCTTGCTGGATCATATGTCACTCTGGTATTTTATACAAGAACCTTTACCAACACACTTGAAGGACTTCTCTTTGCTCTTCTGATGGTACTGGTTTCCTCAAGAAAGCCTAACAGCAGCTTAGCGGAGCCTACACACAGCCCTCTCATAGGTATTGTAACAACTGCTGGGTTTTTCAACAGGCCAACATTTTTGGCATTTGCTCTAATGCCCCTGCTTTACTGGGCAGGTTTCATTGTTGACTCTCAAAGGAGCATTAAAACTGTCATAAACCACTTTTTGAAGCTTGTCCTATGTGCATGTTTTACTGCTGTTGTTTTCATAACAGCTGACACCTTCTATTTCACTGCCATGGGCTTAGACAACCTCTACGGCATTAAGAATAACAGTCTATTTGATGTAATAGGTCAATTAAATGAGAAAATTATAGTAACCCCTTTCAATTTTCTCAGTTACAATCTTAATCCTCATAATCTTGCACTGCATGGAAGTCACCCACGAGTTACACATTTTACAGTCAATGGAATGATGCTGTTTGGGATCTTGCATGTTCTGGCCATTGGTGCTGGTTGTAAAATGTTAAAGCAATATATTTGTCAGTTAATACGGGTCAAATCATGTTACCATGGGTCATCTGGGCACTTAGTGCATTCCAAGGGCAAGCCAACATTACTGCTGTTTTATTTTGTTCCTCTGGCATTTCTCTCTCTATTCAGTCACCAAGAACCTCGGTTTCTTATTCCTCTCATCTTGCCGTTAGTCCTGTTCAGCACGTCACAGAACAGAGCTATGAAGTGGAAATACGTCATTGTTATTTTCAACATGCTCGGGGCTTTGCTGTTTGGGTGCTTACACCAGGGAGGACTGATACCATGTTTGTTTCACTTGGAGCAACTCGTGCATTCTCCAGAGTCCTCAAGCCATTCAAGGCACTACACTCTACTTTTTGCTCACACCTACATGCCTCCTCGATCTCTGCTTAATATCAAGAAGAGAGACACACATATAGAAGTCATTGATATGGCTGGGTCTGAAGAAGAAACCCTCTGCCAGATAGTACAGCAGCGAGCAAATGATTTTACCTGCAATGACTGTCATGTTTTTGTTGTAATCCCTGGTACAATCAGAGCCACAATTACAAAATGTGGTGTCTCATTCCTGAACGAGACTTTGATATTTCCACACTTATCAATGGAAGACCCACCACACATACCGTTCCTATTAAGCAGAAATTGGAGAAGTCAGTTAGGACTATACATCCTTCAGCTAGGCAGAAATCAGCAGAGCCTTCAGATTTCAGGAAAACAAGGGTTTAGTCTGTGACTTCACTTGGGTGCTCCCCAAAGGTGCTGTGAGACCTTCCTCTTTACAGACCCACTTTCAGCATGAGTAGTGGCATTCCGAGCCCCCCCCCCCCCCCAGGTCTCTTTATACATGCCCTTACCCTTACCAGTAGAGCCAGTTCTTGATAGAACCTGCTAAAAATTTGAGTTATTCAGCCTCTGTGGTATTTCACGTGAACTTATGTCATTTTCCTGACAGGAGGGAATGACATCAGAAACCACCAAAACTGTGATTCAAGCTTAGCACTTTCCATGTGAGATTCTTGAAAGTTCTCATCATCTGACAGAAGGTTTATGAACTGTGTGTTTTTTACTGATAGCAGGTATTAACTTAGCTGCCAGGGGTCACAGGACTAAAGTAAAGCCAGTCTGTCTCACAACGGTTTTATTTTTAGGCTCTTAAAGAGTCCCCACTCAGTCATCAGATCAGGCTGCAGCGACAGTGTAAGCACCAGCACTCTAATATGGGCTTGGGTGGTTCTGTCTTGAAAAATCCCCAGCACTGATCTGACAGAATCTGATTTAGAACATGGAAGGTGCTTCAGCCTAAGTACTTCTGCTAAATCCTAAAATCCAAGCTTTGCCTGTTTAATGTTTCTTGCTGCACTTCCATTCTTGTAGATATGCTACACATGTACTGCAAGGAGCAGCTTGAGAGTGCTGCATTCTGATGGATTAAGCCCATCTGTTGTTTAGCTACTGCAGGCAGGGTAGTCCTCCCCACGCGTGCTCCTGCTGCACATCCTGCAGCTTTCCTTACTCCATCGCAGCTCCAACACTGTCAACAGTGCAGGACAGGCCCTGCAGTGAGCTGGTTCAAGGAGCTGCATGGACAGAAAACAGGCCACTCGGAAGGATTTGATCCTTTGTATGCATTTGACAAGATGGATCTCTGAACTGGCTAGAGATCCCCCAGTTCTGCTGCAGGGGAGCATGTGAGCATCCAAGGGAGGCACCACAACCCCTATGCCCCCCCTCCCCTTTAGAAACTGCTCCCCATTAACTCAGCTTATGAGAATGACAGATGACTTCCTGGCTCTCTGATGGAGAGCAGTCTGATTTGGAAGTGTGATACAAATAACTGAGCTTCAGCTGGGAACAATGTGTATGTTTAATAGTATAGTACTCCTAACGATGTTCAGGTTTGCCTGTGTGAACTTCTGAATCAGAAACATCCTAACACAGAGGGAAATAGTAATTTGGCACGTACTTTGTAGGTCAAGCCTCTCTCTGTGAACGAATCTTACACTGGAATTCTCTCTACTCACAAAGGTAGTAATGCTTGTTGCAGTTCTTCATCCACACAGCTTTATATAAGGGCTTATGAGCCAGTTTTTCAACAGACAATAGTAATACAGATTGACTTCATGCTCTAAAGGGAAGCAAGGAAAAATCCCGTTGAAGGATTTACCTTTATCTTCCAAACGACACATACCTCTATGTTAGTAACTCTCTCTCTCTTGTAAAGCATTTCGTGTTGTCTCCCCTACGTGTTCATCCCACATCCTTCATCCCTCATTATTGGCAGGCCTGTAAATTAAAGGTGCATGTTTCTGAGGGTGTGGGGTAACAGGGGTGAATGTATCTTTGTACTGGTGACTCCTGAAGTAGTGAAAGTAGTTGTGAAAACATTGTGACACCAAATGTATTTTTCATGTTAATTTCCTTTTTGTTCTTGTACACTGGGATGACAGCATGTGCCACAGCTGGTACTCCATTACCTCCTTACTGTTTTCAGGTTTCTTTAACAGCTTAAGTTTTTAAAATTTATATTGTAAGACTTATGACCTCTGGCCATCTCAGTGGGGTAGATCTTGAAACTGTTCAGGGATGTGATGGAGCACCTCCCACAGCACATTGACTTCTCCATCACTGCACTGTGACGCAGCCAGGAGGAGAACCTGGACTACAAATACTAACTCAGCCTGAAAATACACCGGTTTTGTCTCACTGACTATATGCAGGCTTTCCATCTGTGCACACCTAAGTCTTTGCTGGTGGGAAGCTTAATTTTACCAGCAGTGCTGGAAACTATCTCAGATGATTCACAAGATTCTTTCCACCCAGGATGATACAAATAATGGAAATCACCCCTCAGTTTTTAGTCAGGTGGATTAAATACTGAAACGTGCAACAAAAGAATGTTAATTACTTTAGTCTTGTAAATGTTGATACAGCAACTCAAGTAAACCAGCCCGGTGCATCAAATACTCTGAATCTATTCTTTTCCATATTTGTATTTAGGATGGCTCTGTTGGCCATTTACTCCCTATAAACCCTTCTTGCTACCACAGACTTGAGGTGTGCTGTAACTACTGATCTCTTTTACCTACCTGTAAAATGGGCGATTGTCCTATCCATCACCATCGACACTCAGACCTCTTTTTGTATCAAAGCTGTATGAAATGTAGAGTATTTCTGATGTGTAGACAGAAACTGTTAAAGGAACTCCTGTGAGAAATATGGGTTTATTTCGAGTTTCTTATCGAACACTGAAAGTGACAATCCCGACAGTATTCTGGACGATGTTTAACGCGAGTCTCCCTTCTGCCCGTTACCGAGTACTGCGGAGGGCGCACGCCGATTCTGCAATGAGAGCCCATGGCACCGGTGAGCGCCGCGCTTCCCGTTCTCACGCTCAGACGCGGGGACGTCTCCTGGCGACGCGCGGTGTGTGGAGCAGCAGCCTCAGTCCGCAGCTCGCAGGCCGGGGTCACGCCGGGTCCTCCGCGGCTGCCGCAGCGCACCCGTGAGCCGACCGGTCCCGGAAAGGCTGGGGGGGGCCCTGCCGCCGCCGGAAGCCCGTCACCCAGGCGCCGGGGCCCGCCCGCTGCCGGCTCCGCCGCGCTCCTCCTCCAGCGCCCGGTGGTTTCTTTCTCCTCGTGGAAGGGTCCTGTGCCGGCTGCTGCTCCGTAGCTCCCCTCAGCTCGACAGCGTTCAGGGTGCAGCTCCGGGGCGGCCGCCCTGCCCCGACCCGCGCCTCGGGGGCCATGGCCAGCCCCGCGCGCTGCCCTTCAGCTCCGCGAGCACGGCGTCGCGCAGGCGCAGCAAACAAGGGGTCAGGCTCCGCGCCGCCTGGCGGGCGCTGAGCTGCCCGCGGGTGATGGCGGCGGCGGTGAGGCGGGCGGCGGCGCGGACGGGCCGGGACTCGGAGAGCCGCTCCACCACCCGCGGGCTGCTCAGCAGCGCCAGCAGCACCCGCCGCAGCACCATCCCGGCCCCGCCAGACACCGCCCCTCTCGCGAGAGCCGACACCTGCGCCTCGCCTCGCCGCGCCCCGCCTGCTCTCGCGAGGGTCGTGGCCCGCCTCGCTATTGGCTGCGCGCTTAGCGGCCTGCAGGGACGGTGTTGAGGGGCGGCGGCGCCATGTGTTCCGCGGACACGCTCAGCGTCCTGCGCAGCGACTCTTACGTTGACCTCAGCCAGTACCGGGACCAGCACTTCCGGGTGAGCGGGATCCCGCCGCTGCCGCCGCCGCTGCTGCTGCCGCGGGGGGTGGGGGCAGCGCGGAACGCCTGGGCTGGGCCCGGTTGTCGTCGGGTAACGCTGTCGTTGCGGCTCAGGGGACGCGGTATGACCAGGAGCGGCTGCTGAGGAAGAGCTGCACGCTGTACGTGGGGAACCTCTCCTTCTACACCACGGAGGAGCAGATCCATGAGCTCTTCGGTAAGAGCGGTGACATCAAGAAGGTCATCATGGGGCTGGACAAAGTGAAGAAAACTCCCTGCGGTTTCTGCTTCGTGGAGTATCCTTCTAAGGGCCCGGCCCCGCCGCCGCTGGTGGGGCCGGCCCGGTTCGTGCTGCGGCTGGAGGCGGGGGCGGCCGGGCCGCGGGCGAGCGGAAATGCGGACTCCGGGTCACGGGGGCACGAACCGAGGGTAAAGCTACTCGGTTGCCAAAGCGTGCGAGGGAGTTCTGGGCGAGAGGGGGCAGCGCGAGGTTAGTTATTGTTTTAAAGGTTTTTTCCAACCTGAATGATTCTGCGGTTCTAACATCCCTGCACGTCGAGTGGGGGTTATTGGGTTGCTTTCACTCTGATGCTTTCAGCCAGACACTTGTTAGATAGTTGGCCTCTGTAGTAAAAGCATATTCTCAGTGCTGAAGTAAAGAGGTGTTTTATTTCATACAGTCTCACCCATAGTTTCTGTTGGTATGTGGCATCCCTGTAATGTGTTGGCTTCGTTACGTGCAAGTCTCTTTGAAGATCATTCTGTTACTGGTTCCAGCAAAGTCACCAAAATGGTGAAAGATTGCAATGTCAACGGAGCGTGCCCTTTGCCATGCAAACAACGCGTGGCGCTTTGCATTCTTGCTTTGCTAATAGAGCTTTGTGCTTTTACAGGTGAGTGTGGTTGAAGAACTTGATCCAATATGCGCATTTTTTGTATTGTTGAGCTCCTGCACGTGCTGTTTCACTAGCAGTTTTCTTAGCTTGTATAGCTTTATAAAAGCAGTTGCTTTTAAAGCTAACCAAGCAAGAACCTGATGCAAGCAAATACTTGGTTTTGTGGCCCATTCAGTGTTGATTTTCCCTGTGTTGAAAATAGAAGCCCCCCCCCCCTTTTTTTTTTCATTAACTTATTCCTAAGGTATTATGCAAGAGGAGATGCTGAAAATGCAATGCGATACATCAATGGAACCAGACTTGATGACAGGATCATAAGGACAGACTGGGATGCAGGATTTAAGGAGGGTAGACAGTATGGTCGTGGAAGATCAGGGGGCCAGGTAAGTTGATGTACAGTATAGATTTTAATTTGACATTGCCAAATTACTGGGTTTTGAATGAACACACTTGGAACAACTTAAAAAATAGTAACTTCAAAGTCATTGTTTAAGACATCTTCTCAATTATGATGTTATGTACCAAGAATAAATAACTTTTTCATGTATTTAATTGAAAGTTACTTTCAGAAACTTTGTGGCTGCTTGGGGAGACAACACTTAAAATAAGCCCAGAAAATGTAAGGCTGTCAGGAACACAGAGGACAGCACCTAGCTTACCTGAAGTTGAGCAGGTAGCAGATGCTTTTACTCCTGAAGCATGAGGCTGGCCATCCTCCCTTGGGTTGTTGTAATTAAAGAGTCCCCCTGGGCATTGTTAAAAAGGAAGTTAGTTTACGCTGTGTTCTGGCCTTCTGTGTTATGTGCTTTGCCTTCTCTTTTGTCAGTCAGCTCTTTGTGGCCACTTATTTGTTGTTAACTCATTTTGACTATTCTGATGTTGTAATAGTTTCTGAGACATTGTTTTAATTTGTCTTTACTGGAATTCCCTTTTTCCCTCCTTTGTAAGGTCCGAGATGAATATCGGCAAGACTATGATGCTGGAAGAGGTGGCTATGGCAAAAATGTTCAGTGCCAGTGAATAGTGAATGACTCTTCAGCCTCACAGAAGTAGATTTGTATTGTAAATGTCACCAGGCACAAAGTAGGTCTGCTGCACACCAATTTATGTAGCTAGAAATTCACAGAAACTACTACCTGTGATCTTGTGATTGCGTACGTTCAGTATCTCTTTTGTTTTAATATCGGGATCCAAAGCATTGCAGAGTACGTTAATACAGAGGACCTGGGAGTGAGGTTTTAAGCAATAATATGGGTGAGGCTTTGATGTTTAAACGCTGCTGTAACTTTACTAAAGGAACAAAGTCTTAATGGTATGGTGCTTTTTTTCTTTTTCACTGTCAAAACTTGATTATTCTGTCACTGGGATTTGTTTACATTGGTATCACAGGGTGGAAAATGGCAATAAAGGAGGGTTGGGGAATGTGTCAGAGATGAAAGAAAAAGGCAGAAAGCCCAGAAAAACAAGTGGAATTTCTAGGGAAAATTTCAATTTCTAGGGAAGACTTAAAACTGCAGATTTTCTGGTTTTACTGGATTAGCATCCTTTCACACTGAGGCTGTTCCTAGCACACCTACATGAATGGCCACAATAAACCAAGTCAGATTGTGAGCCCAGGAATCATAAAGTAAGAAGCAAACCTAGCAGAAAACAGCCATGCCCTCTTCTACAGAGCGTCATGTAATTGCGTGAAACTGCGTGATACAGAACCATTTTGCTTTGTGGGATGCCGAGAGTGTAAGAATTACAGTTGCAGTTATTTTCACGGTTGGTAATATTTTGCTCCTGTCTGGCAGCTCTCTACAGCCTCAATATCTGATGAACAGTATCTTTCCTGTGCCTAAAAAAGTGGCATGAAGCCACATTGTACAGTTGCCCCCAAAATGGGATGTTTGAGGAACTGTATGTATAATGAGAAAGTTTGTTTTCAAAATAGATTTTCTAGTTGAGAAACTGCAGTACAAACAAAGGTAAAAATAAAGAAGGATGAGTTTGAGGAAGAGCTTTACTTTCTACTGAGCATGTGGTAAGAATGGTGAAAGAATGCAGGACTGCATAGATTTATTTTGGTTTTTCCTTCTTCCTCTGAGTCCTGTTAATGCTGCTACTTTGTATGATGGGATTTTGAGGTACTGCAGGTACAGGAATAAAAATAACTAGTGATCCCAAGATCTGTGAAATTGACCTACTAAAGCAAAATAGTTTAAAAGGAACTGTTACAGGGTTTGGGATTATTGGTTCGATTTGGTTGGTTTGCTTATTTTATGGACTTCTGAGTTCTTTGGAAATTGCAGTTTACAGAGTTTCGTCCACATATCTTGTTCATGACTCCTTAAAAAAAAACTTCAAAATACCAGGTATGTAAAAGTTGATCTTTACTCACTGAAGATATTGTTGGAAATCTTGATCAGTTTCCTGTGAACAGTTAGTCACAACTGCTCCTCTAAATTCAAAATACAATGAGGAAGAGCAACTGCAATGAGACTTTGCTTTCTTAGGAAGCAAGGTTGTGGGTGGGCTTTGGGCTTGCTTGGCACATGGATTAAAACTACATTTTCAGGATCATTTGGTGCTGGTCTGTAAACAAGACTTTGAATACAGTTACCTTTTTCTATATAGTACATTTGATCATGAGTTTACAGCTTACAATCTGCTCTAGGGAACCTCTGAAGTTTATTTTTCATTATATCAGTTTTGTATTAAAAAAATGTATTACCAAAACTTTTAAGTCGCTGTCAAATAAAGCTGCAAATTTAAAATGGATTGTTATTTTTATATTTTCTTTACAAAATCAGCGAGAGAAAGAAGCTATATTGAGACTCTTGTTCACAGCCTTTATTCTAATGTCTTTTAAGATGGAGAGAATGAATATTGCTTCCCTCTGGATTTTCAGTGTTCTTTAGTTCTTAGCTGGATGCTGACAGTTGTTTGGTTAATGCTGTTCTGATACTTTTTGGATTATGAAACAGAAATGAAATTACTGATACTGAAGTGGGTGTGAATGTCCTTGTTGTGTAACAAGTAGCTTTCAAGGTGCGCTTGCTTATAAAAATGAGGCTTTAAATAATTTTTTATTTTAAGTGCTGCAAGACATTCATTCTCAAATGAAATGGAGGTGATAGTAAGATTTCCACTCAAAACCATCTTTGTCTTTTGCTGCATATGTGCAATGTATACCGAAAGATTTTGTCTTAAAGTGAGATTTTCCATTTTGAGAGAAATTTCAATCAAACTGGTATTAAAAAGCACAAGATGCATCATGTAAAGTCATAGTATCTCAAAAGCTTGCACATAGGAAATTGGATTGATTTTTGCCTTCCCTGATTGAAATGGGACGTGACTGTGCTGAAACTAGTGTTTAACACAAGTAACTGAATTAAGTCTTTAAAACTTCATTGAGGGGCTTCTTTAGCTTTCTTCTGTGCCAGTTTATTGTGACTCGCTTCTCTTGGAAGTACAGGATATCCTGTGATTTTTGACATGCCAGTCCATTATGATTATATACACTTTCCTAGAAGTTTAAGATCTATATTAGCTTTTCTAAATACTTGTTCATTATAATTAGGTACTCCTATGGAATTGTATCCATAAAGAAATGCATCAGCTAAGAATATGGGTGGAAGCTTAGTCATGCCTTGGGGGAAGAGAGGCTGTTACAAATCAAGGCAGCAAGAGCTTCAGTCTCCCACAGACTGTGGTGCAGCCTCATGCTGGATTGATTTACATGCCTCTCTTTGGTACCAATAGCTGCAAATAAGATTTGTATTCACAGCATTTGAGTTTTTGTATTGCAGTGTAAATTGGAGCATTAAAAGCCTTCATTTTCAATGACTGACAAAATAATCCCTGTTACCAGTGTAGCCCTGCAGGCTGGTTCCAAGGTGGTCTTTATATCAGTCAGATTACTTACTACCCTGTGCAGCAGCAGAGTTTGTGCTCAGATTGGTGCCAGTGCAACCACCATTGGTGTTAAGATTCTTTCTACACAGGGAATTCTGAAAGACAAAATGATTGAAGTATTTAAATTAATATCCATCCAAGTATTTCATCTTTCACAGCTTGTCAGATCAGGTTTCTTGTGAAGGTAAAAATCCGTTAAGAGCTCCACTAAAATCAAGTGGCTTATACAAAGGCTTTGATCTATAGTCAAAGACAATGCTAGTCAAAAAGGAAAGCAGTCCACAGGGACTCAGCATCTAATAAACTGTTGTCCATTTATTAGATGTTCAGTCCATCCGAGTTTCTAAAGGACAAATTGTACCTTATGCTACAGCATATAAATGAAGAAGAATTAGACTGGGTACTTTTCTTCGCAGTTGCTGGGATGTCTGCTCCGAATTAACTGGTACTTTCAGGTAAGTGTAGAGCCTGGTACAACTACAGGTAAAGCACAAAAAAATTGTCAGAGACTGCAGAGAGAAGCGTCCTGGGCTTTGAAATGTCTGTCATGTTTGGAAAATAATGGCCTGATTTATTAATTGCCTGCTTTTATGTGTCTCCTGCTTGCATCTGTCTAAATAAGCTTTTGCACAAGGGACTGGATGTACTCAGAGTTGCTCTACAGTAACACACAACTCCTCTGCTCTCCCTTTGGGGTAACTAGGTGGTGTAAATGTTTCTTGTGTCTTGGGGAAGTTTCTCGTGTCAGAGTTCCATAGTTTATGAAGATTACCTTCCTGCCACTCTGCTTCCCAGCCTGCTTCCAAAGGCAAAGATGTACTTCAGTGAGGTAATATTCTTCAAAATTATTTTGACTTCTACCTGAAGGCTATTTGAATGCCTGTGAGGGTTCCTTACAGGGAAAAAAAAGGGGGGGGGGGGGGAGGGTGAGGAGGAAAAGTAGACAAACTCTAGTTTGCACTGCTTACTAGTTGGTATGTTCAGGTCTGACACAATCTTTCCCTTTAGCAGAGCCGTGAAATTTTGTTTCAAACCCTTGAGGAGCGGCACAAGTCAAATGCCAGATGGCTCCCTCTAGTGAGTACAGAGGTAGTATACTTTTAAGTTCCGACGTATCCAAGAGGGCTGCTGAAAGCTCTGTGTAGTGTCCTGCATGTCATCCGGTCTCAAGATTTTGCTTTTGTCGTAAAAATGGGCAAAACCATAATTTTCATCTGTAGACCGTTTTTCAGAGTGGTGGCAACTAGAGATCAGGGATCCATGAGTTTGTAGCCCGTTGTTTATTTAGTAGCAGCTCACTTGTCTTTTATACTGGATATTGCAATATGCTGTGTCTGTGGTGATCTCCTTCCCTGCCCCTAGCAACCTCTTCAGATGTTGCCAGAGGCACACCTGTGATACTGAAGGAGGGCTTGACTCTTAGATGCCAAATCCATGCTTCGCAACCTCCCAGTAATTGTATTGGTTAGCTGTGCCAGAAGATCTTGTGCCAACCATCTGTTTTTCAGTCTCTAGCGGGTTATAAAGTGAAGTTCTGTGTTGCACACAACAAAGTAAATGTATGCAGCTTGGCAAGACAGTAGACAGGGTCTTAAATGTGTAATTTGTTTCTGTGGAGTTGCAGTAGTCCTTCAGGCACTTTGCAGACTTCAGTGTTTTGCTTCAGAATATCTCTGCAGGGAAAGTACCCTTTTGTGTCTTACAGGTTTCTGATCTGAGACATAAGGGGGTTTATGCTGTGTGACAAGCCTGTGGTGGGTGAGGAGTTGAGCTCCCAGTCTCCTCAATCCTAGCTCTGACAAGTCTTTCTTACTTGTGCTAATGTACTTCATGACACAGCGAGTGTAAGAAAGACACGCAAGTACCCTCCTCACATGTGGTTTAGGAAGATGAGCAGTATGTGCAGGATATAGATCAGGTCTTTTAAACCATTTTTAAAAGATAATCATAAATACCTTAGGAACACAGTAGGGGGCTAGTGGAATGAATCCTCTTCATGCAGGACTGATGTGATTTGTTTCATTTAATACTTTTCAAAGCAGTTGTAGACATCTTTGCTTAAGTCTTTCACTAGTCTGATGGAAGTGCTGTACCATTTTACAACTAGTGAACAGTTGAGTAAAGACTGTGTTTAAAACTTTCCTTCCCAGGAGCACCTTTGCCTGAATTCCTGAGGGTGTTTCTCAGTGATAACATGACTGTGTGGAATGGCTTTTCATGTAAATCCCTTTGCAGAATAGAGGGTCTTGGTTGTTCATTGCACCTTTGTGCTATGCTAAATTTGGCAGAAACTAATTCAAGAGTGCGTAACCTGAGTTAAATGTAGGGGGAGGGGGTTTTATTTATTTGTTCTTCACATTTGAAGGCCAAGTATTAATTATTCCTGGTGTAGGATTTTATTGCTTTGAAGGTGCTACAGCAGACATTTGCTTTTGGAAAACCTTTCTTGACTGTTCAGCAAGAGCGGCCATTCTAGCTAAATGTATCTCTCAAAAGCTTTTTATGTTCCCCAGTGCTCATCTCTGACTACATAAAACCTGTTTTTACTTTGTTCTGTTACTCTCCACCAAAGTCTGTACAAAGCCAATTACTTCTGCGCTGACAGGAAAATCCACCACTGTTTCAGAATCATAAAACTGACTAGGTTGGAAAAGACCTTTAAGATCATCAAGTCCAACCCAGGACTGCCAAGTCCACCACTAAACCATATCACTGAGGGCCTCATCTGCACGGTTTTTGAACACTTCCAGGGATGGTGATTCCACTACTTCCCTGGTAAGCCTGTTCCAATACCGATTACCCTCCGTGTGAAGAAACTGTTCCTGATACCCAACCTAAACCTCCCCTGGCACAGTTTGAGGCCCTTAACTCTTGTCCTGTTGCTTGTTACCTGGGAGAAGTGACTGGCCCCAACCTCACTACAACCTCCTTTCAGGTAGTTGTAGAAAGCGATAGAGAGCACTTCAGCACCTCAATGTCTTTCCTGTAGTAGGGGCACAGAACTGAACGCTGAATGAGGGGCTGAGTCAGGATTTCAAATGCCAAGTTGCACAGGGAGAAACTGAAATACCTTCCATCAGAAAATAGTGTGAATTGAGCATTACTGAGTTAATGACCTGGAAAGCATCTTTCTCAAGTGCCTTGAGGATAAGTATGTTTCTGAAAATAAGACTGTATGTTAAGTAATTTGAATGAATTTTACTTAATTAGAGGTACCTCTGATTCCCTTTTCAAGGTGTGCCATTTATTGATCCTTCTTGGACTGGTATTTTTCAATTAGGACAATATTGAACCACAACTTAAATTATTTCAGGTATAATTAAAAGACTTTTTTTTTTTCCTGAACACAATTTGAAAACAAATGGCAAATAAAATTTGCTATTTTGATATTTCTCCAGTTACATGCAACATAAATATCAGCATAAATTAGCCTAATTGGGTCAGCTTGTAATTAAATTTCTGGACAATAAAGCTTTTCCCTTCTGTACCAATCTCTCCCTGCAAGCCACAGTTTAAAAAGGAGATTATGATTTTCTAGTGGGTAAGAATATATTAAATATTCATAACACGTACTTTAGGTCTGTAGCTCACATGCTTCGAACTGAACTTTTGTTTTTCTGACTTTATTACTTTAAGGTAATGTTCTTATTTCATACTTTGTGTTTTTGAATACGGGGAATTTTTCTGACTTAAAAAAGTGCTGCTAGACTGTTCAGCGTGGTTTCATTTAAGTTGGTGGGGTTTGTGTTTGGTTTTCTGTAATATCACTGTTTTGCAACATCTAAAATTACTTTTTGTGAAAACAGCACCCCGTCAGCTTGTCATGCAGCCACAAGATGTCATGAGAAGCTGTGCCTCGTTGCAGGAGGAGTGAGCTTTGTGCTTTGTGAGCCCTCACAAGGGGTCAAGTCGAGCAGTAGTTCTGGAACCAGGTGTTCTGGAAACATCTCAGTTCTCCATACAACTATTGCAGTGTCTCAATTTCTTCAATTAACCCTTTCATATTAGGGTTATGCTTGAAACAAGTGGCTAGTAACTGCTTGAACTGTCTTCTAACATGCCCTGAAGCAGCAGATGTAGGAGTGCCTTAAGGTTCCCAAGATGTAGCATGCCCTGTAACATTAAGCACTGTACAACTGAAAGGTTCTCTATGGTAACCATGACTGTGCATGCTGGAAGAGGGCTGGTTTGTGGTTTGGGTTTTGCAGGGGTTTGGTGGTTTTTTTTTCCGCTCTGAATTTACTCCAGTAAGAGGAGAAATGTGCTTCCAGGAACTGGAAAGGACTTTCTCCCATTAAATCCAGGAATGTCCCAGAGTCTGCACTTTTGCTTCTGCTTTTAAATTCCCAGCTGAATTTCCTCTTTGAAAGCTACATATTAGCTTGAAAAAGCTATCAAGCAGCAACTTCGCATAAAGTAAACACTTAATATGCTAGTGTGCCCGCAGAGTTCTTGAAAGGTCTAGTGGGAGCAGTATTGACTCCTGAGTTGTATCTCGGCGTGAGTCAGGGAAGCTGAGCAAAACAGTGTCACAAAAAGAAACCACAGCTTTCTGGTAGGAGGGATTAAAAATCCCTCAGGGTAAGTGTCCAAAATCAGTTGCAAGACAGTATTTTTCTGAGAATCCAAGGCTGTGAGGACCAACAAATATTACTTGGTCTACAGAGTTGGGCAGAGAAAGACCTTGGTTCAGGAGAGCACAGAAAGTTGGCAGTATGTGAGAAGTGAGGGAAAGATTCCAGCTAATTTGTGTTAATCCAGTCATTTGGATTCTAGACGCAAAATGGGTCACCAAGGCAAAGTTAATAAAACATTAGAAGAGGCCCAGCAGCCTGAATAAATACATGGTGTTCATCAGCAGTCGCTGGATATGGTGTTGATTCTGTGTTTGATCATGTATTTTCCCCTAAAGATATTTAATGGAACTAAAACTGGTGTGAGACTGAGTTTGTTATGATTGATTCACTCCCTGTCAGAAAACAAAATCACTTTGATGTATGTGAATGAGTGGTGCTGTTTCTCGTTGTGCTCTGTGAATTGTCTTCCCCATCGAGCAGAGTACTTCACAGGCTGGCACACTCTGTGAGCAGTGCACGCCTCAGCAGGCACAACACGTTTGTTGTTGTCAGTATGGAGATGAATAGAATAGAGAACTAAATAATTTTAATCTCTTTATAGGAAAGAATGATTCAGGGCTCCAACTTCAGACAAATCTGAAAATAATTAACTATTCCCAGACCTACAGCTGTCCTGAGAGGCAAGAAAACATCATACAAAGCTGTGTGCTTGAAGTACCAAAGCTTTAAGGTGCTCAAGATTGTGGTGGACTCTTGGGCTGTAGAGTTGGATGTGCAGCACTGGAGAGAGCCTGTTTTCACTGGATATTAGTAGGATGTGTGTATCCCACCTCTTGGAGGACGATGGGTGTTATAGCTGGCAAAGGCTTCAGAGCATATGTAGAGCTGTACTGCAACTGCCTTGTGTGCAGAGGGTTAGGACGCTTTTCCCTACGTATGTGGCACTAGAACAATGCTCGTGATTTTCCTTTTTTAATGATTATGGCAGGTGCCTCCTCTGTTCAGGAAGAGACTTTCATTGCAGCTGTAAAGTCTAGGGGAATTTAATGTATTCCATGGATATACAGATACAACAATATGGGTTGAAGTACATGAGGTTACTGGAATTTTTTCTTTTTTAGCTTTTGATATTTTAAGTTATAATAATTTGAAATGAATATTTTAGTGCACATAAAATGCAGAATTGCCTCTCAATAATTATTTTTTCACTGTTAGCCAGAGGTTCACTAAGCTATGCAATTTAACAATGCAGTTCTCCTCTTAGCTGCGTATCATTACAATCCTAGGGAATCAGTTTCTTCATGAGTTCCAAAATTCACAGATATGTGAACAAAGTCCAGCATAAGTATAGTGTAATAGGGCTTCTTTAAAAGCTGTTTTAATTTCTTCTTCTTTTTTTTTTTTTTCCCCTTAGTGAAATGGATTTTCTAATGTAGGAAGAATATAATACAAATTCACTTTGTATAAGAACCTTTTATGATTATTCATTATTTCTAGACTTTTTTTATTGATAAATATGTTGTCGCCACAACTGCTGTCAGTGACAGTATAACTTACAGTAGGGATGTGAGAGGCTAAAACTACAGAGGAACAGTGGTGACAAAAGGTAGAACTAAAAGCATCGTTTTCTCTTTGGCCTTCCTTTTAAAGGGAGGGTAGGTATTCCACATTTATAAGGATTATATTGTTGCTTCTCAGACATGATTCAAAGATACATATTGAAAGATGGGAAAGTATAAAACATCGTTGTGTCATTAGGAATTCTAGTCCCATTCAAATCGGAAATGTTCGATTTATGATCCTTAAAGAAAGCTCATGAACAGCTTTTCCACTTGAGGAGAAAAGCATAAGAATAGTTTTCTAAAAGTCTGTATAAAATGAACATTTCCTTTTGAACCCTTTATTCATTCAATTTCTGGGCATATTTAAAAAATCATTGAAGAATTAATGGAAGCTATATGAAAAATAATATTAAAACCCCTCAGTGAAATGCCAGTGGTTTGGGGCTTTTTTTCAGTATTCATGGTTTAGTTTTTGAGTAAAATAAATGTTGATTTCAATAGGCCTGAACTCATCAATTGAACACCACTTGAGGACCTGCTTCCCTTTCATTTACTCCAGGGTGGATGAAAAGAGAATTCACAGACCTCGGTGGCATTACTGTGCATAGACCTAAGGGTGAACAGAATATCTGCTGTCATTTGCAAGGCTATTTATTTAAGAGAAAAGGATCTCAGTTTCTGTATTGAGTGTGCTATAAACCTTAGCATTGGAATATTTCTGCTAAGTGTGTTGAACACGTAACTCTCTGTGTATGTGGGGTTATTATCTTTATGCACACACATCCTATGAGCAGGGATGTGAAACTATCAGTGAAAAGCAGGCTTTTTGCACCTACTGCTGTATTTACAGTCTCATAATCTGAGAATGTTGCATCTTTGCAGTGACGGTACCATGCTGAGGAATGATGACGATCATAGAATAATAGAACGGTTTGAGTTAGAAGGAACCTTATACATCATCCAGTTCCAACCCCCTGCCATGGGCATGGACACCTTCCACTAGAGCAGGTTGCTCCAAGCCCCTTCCAACCTGGCCTTGAGCACTGCCAGGAATGGAGCAGCTACCGCTTCTCTGGGCAACATGTGCCAGCGCCTCACCACCCTCGGGGAAGAACTCCCTACTAACATCTAATCTAAATCTGTCTTCTTCGAATCTTATTTATAGAATCACAGAATAGTTAGGATTGGAAAGGACCTTAAGATCATCTAGTTCCAACCCCCTGCCACTGGCAGGGATAGAACTTTTACGGCTCGGCACGGCTCGGCTCTGCACGGGGGAGGACCAAGGAACCGGAGCACTGGGGGGCTCTGGGGCAGCCCGGCAGTGGGAGGGGGGGAGTCGTGGTGGGCCGGGGCTGCTGTCCCGGGATGCAGCAGGGACTGTGTCCCCCTTCCCATCCCTCCCACCGAAGGCACTCATGTTCCCCACGGCCGTTCAGTGTCATGGTCTCCTATAGCAAGAAAAGCCTATGCCCTGGCTACTGTGTACCAGCACCCAGCAGAACCAGGCGCTCCTCTTAGCAAGTCCCAGAACCATCACAGGAGCATTTCTGAGAGAGGATTTTGTATTTAATGGAATTCAGGCTTTGTATGATGGGGGCTCTTAAACTTTGGAATTGCTGAACAAGAGAACTCTGTTCTGGCAAATCTGAGTTTCAAAGAATATTCTGCCATCTGGGGAGCCTTCTGCTTACAACCCCTCCTTCTCCCCCCACCCCGAGTCAAAACAGAGCCATTCAGCCCAACAGCATTCCCACCTTTGGAATGAGCCCTCAAAACCATCTGATTTTAACAAAGATCTGCCTGAAAAGCAAGAAAAAGAAAACCCAGTTTAGCCCAGCCAAGCCCAGCACCCTTTAGACCAGTTCAGACCAGTTTAGCTTAGCCCAGCCCAGTTTAGCTCAGTCTAGCCCAGTTCAGACCAGTTCAGCCTGGTTTAGCCCAGTTCAGACCAGTCCAGCCCAGTTTAGCCTAGTTCAGCCTGGCTTAGCCCAGTGTAGGCCAGTTCAGACCAGTTTAGCCTAGCCCAGACCAGTTTAGCTCCGTATATCCCAGTATAGCCCATTTCAGACCAGTCCAGCCCAGTTTAGCCCATTTCAGCCTGTCTTAGCCCAGTTAAATCTGGTTTAGCCCAGTTCAGACCCATGTAGCCTAACCCAGCACAGTTTGGACCAGTTTAGCCCAGTATAGCTCAGTTTAGACTAGTTTAGCCCAGTGCACACCTGTCCAGCCCAGTTTATCTCAGTTTGGTCACTGTACCCCAGTTCAGCCTAGCCCAGTTTAGCCCTGTTCAGACCAGCCCAGCCCGATTTAGCCCACTTCAGCACAGTTTAGCCTTGTCCAGCCCAGTTTAGCCCAGTATAGCCCAGCCCAGCCTAGTTTGGCCCAATTCAGACCAGTCCAGCCCAGCTTAGCACAGTCCAGCACAATTAAGCCCAGCCAAGAACAGTTTAGTCCAGTGCATTTTAGCCCAGTTCAGACCTCTCCAGTTTAGCCCAGTCCAGCCCAAATAAACCCAGCCAAGAACAGTTCAGCCCAGTTTAGCTCAGTCCAGGCCAGCACAGCTCAGTTTAGCACAGATTAGCCCAGCTCAGACCAGTCCAACCCAGCTCAGTCCAGCCTAGCCCAATTTAGCCCATTTAAGGCCACTCCATTTAGCCCAGTCCAGACAAGTTTAGCTTAGTTCAGCTCATTTTAGACTTGTCCAGCCAGGCTAAGACAGGTCCAACCCACCTCAGCCCAATGGAGTCAAGGCCAGCCCAGTTTAGTGTGGTCCAGCCCACTTTAATCCAGTACAGCTCAGTTTAGCCCAATGTTGCCCATCCCAGTTTAGCTTACTCCAGCCCAGCTCACTACAGTCCATGCCGTTTTACCCCTGCCCAGCCTAGTTTACACCAGCCCAGCCCAGTTTAGCCTAGACCAGCGCACTTCAGCCCACTGCACACCACTACAGCCCACTTTATCTCAGTTCAGACACTTTATCCCACTTCAACCCAGCCCACTTTAGCCCTGTCCACCCCATTCCAGCTCATCCCAGCCTGTTTAGCCCCGTTTAGCCCAGCGTAGCCAACGTTAACACAGTCCGTTCCAGTTTAGCCCCGCCTAATTTAGCCCCGCCCAGCCCGCTTTCGCCGAGTTCTGCCCAGTTCAGCCCAGCCCAGTTTAGCCCAATTCAGACTTGTCCAGACCAATTTAGCACAGAATAATTTGACAGAAATACTGCCAAACAATGATGTCAGTGCTTCATCACAGCACGTTCGGCTTCGGAGTCCTGTTTGTCATGTTCTAAATTTATGAGCATCTCTTGACTTTTGTAGCAGGTTGATTAGATTAGGGACTGACTCTGGTAAGAACAGAGATGTTCTGATCTGCATCACTTGTGAACATGAACTGGTTGATCTTTGTGACAATGAGCTGTACTCTTTGTCCTGCTGTCAGCAGAAGCAGAGGGGTCTGCAGGGATGACAGCCATTACTCCTGAACTGTTTTTTTTTTTCTTTTTTCTTCGTTGCAGTCTTTATGCTGGCTCTTATGGCCTAGTGTATTATAGGGAAACATGAATATTTTGTTTCCCATGAAGCCAGGAAATTGGGAGTTAATTTTATATGAAATCAATGTGATTCATACTTTTATAGAGTCATTTGCCGAGGTATCTCCAGAGAGGAGCCTTCAACACCAGAGCGAGGGGAGACACCGCGCCCCGGAGCCTGAGCTCCGAGCGGCGGGAGCCTCCAGCCCTGGCCAGGCCTTGCCCCGGAGCCGGCGGCTCCGCTGAGGCGAGCAGGGACTCACAGTGGGGCCGGCACCGCCCTGCGCAGGTAAAACACGCCCCAGGAGCGCGGTGACGAGAGCGAGGCGCGGCGGTGAGCCCGCGCGTCAGGGCCCGGTCTGGGAGCTGTGCTCTGGGTGCCTTGGCGGTGGGCAGGAGTGCCTGCACTGGTCTGTTGAGGAGAGGGTGCGCAATGGGCAGGGCTGCACTTGGAGGTCCTGGCGGAGGGTATTCATCCCGGAAAGTGGGAGCTAGTAATAACACACACACACAAAAAAGCCGGAAGAAGACGATTAAGACCAAGAGGCATCCTCCAGGATGACGGCCCCACCCAGAAGCGCTTTGCAGTTCCGCAAAGGGGGTTTATGAGGAAACGCCAACAGCACCGCCTGGAAGCAGTAGTAACAATCCTCTTTACTGGTGGATCAGGTGTTTGTTCATTTGGTGCGGTGGGCAGTTGTGGGGTTTTGTTTTTTTTTTGTTGTTTTGGTTTTGTTTTGGTTTTGTTAGTAGCTTCCTGCATTGACACCCTCCTCGTTTTCTGTATGCGCTATGGTGGACGCTTGTGGCCCCTGCACAGTTTGGGCCTGGAGCAAGCAGCCCTGCTCCCTCTCAGCTCCCCTGACATGTTTCAGCCTATTGACAGCCCTCCGCAGCTCACCCCCTGCTGCAGGAGCACCTCCACCAGGGCGCACCGAGTGCGGCCCTGCCCGTTGTTCACCCTCCCCTCACCAGACCAGTGCAGGCACTCTCTACACCCCGAGCTCCGCACTGCAGCCTCCCCTCTCATCGGCTCTGTCTGGTGCCGACGCTGCCACCACCGCGGCAGCCAGAGCAGAGCTCCCAGACCGGGCCCTGGCCCTGGCCCTGGCCCTGACCCGAGTGCTCACCATCCCGCTCCCCCTGCCTGCACTGGCTGCCGCGCCACGCTCTCCTCGCCGCGCCCCCTGGAACGGGCTTTACTCGCTCCGGGAGGTGCGGTCCCTTCTGCCACCGCCCCCTGTGAGTCCCTGCTCGCCTCAGCGGAGCTGCCGGATCCTGGGCAAGGCCTGGCCAGGGCTTGCCCCCTCGGTGGCTCGAGCCGCTCAGAACTGGGTCTCCTTCCCCTCGCTCCGGGGCTGAAGGCTCCTCTCTGGACCTCCACCTCGGCAAATCATCTTTCCTTGAAGAACTCCAGAGTTAAGCATTTTAGGTCATTTGTTACATGCAGAAAGAAAAGACATAGCCAAGAAAATGGGGTGCTCTGTTTAAAAAAGATGTGAAAAAAAAGTTTTAGATGTTTTGCAATATTTACCTATTCCTTGGCTAAGGTGTGTATGTTCATTTATTGATAGCAAACTCCCTGTTTCCTGTAGTTGCAGACTTTACTGCAAGTAGACTAGCATCTTTCCGTAAAGGACAGGAGCACAATCCCATTCTTGAAAGGGGCATTAGGCTGTTTCCTCTCTTGGGGTATAAGACTATGTAGCTGTAATGAAGCTGTTCTGAGTGCAGCTGGAGAGCACAGAGGCAACCTGCTTCAATGCACAGCCCACATCTGTCCTTGGGAGAATTGAAAGTGACAGGAAGCATGCTGAGGCTGTGTGTCAGCCAAGCAGAGTTCAGAACAGGCTGTATCTCAAGCTTCAGTTTAATTTCTAGCAACAGTTTTTGAGGCACTTGAGTCCAGATCATTAAGAGCAAAAGTTTCCTTCTCTGAATTACCACTGTGTGTCAGCAGCTGCTTGGGAACTTTGAGCAAACTTGGAACTATCTTCCACAGAAGCACGTGTTTAGCTCTTACACAACTGTTGGGACTTAGGCTGTTTAGTTTCATGTGTGAGTTACCTGCTTTATGTGTTGAAGAGCTAACAATTTGAACGTGCTGCCTTTGTTGGGCCTTTGCAACTGTGATCTGTACCAAAGGGACATTTTCTTCCAGAGTGGTCTGGTATCTCCAATATCACTCCTGTGAGACCTGGCACGTGGACAGCACATTGTCTTTAAAACACTTCATCAGTTCTTACTCGCTTTTGTGTTTTGGAGGACTGAAATGAATTGACTGTTTCAATCTATTTAGCTAAACAATAGCTTAATACGAGAAAGATGGGAGCTTTTTGATGTGATTCTTAACCAAGAAAACACAATGTTCCTTTTTTATTTATCTAATTAAAGGAGCACTGTAAATCACATAGAAAAAACTGAAATTGTTCCTCTCAGTCCTCGATTGACCTGCATCAGGCAGAGATTAATTTCACAGGGTCACAGAATAGCTGGGGCTGGATGGGACCACTCAGAACTATCCAGTTCAAACTCCTGCTCAAAACAGGTCACATAAAGCGGGTGGCATAGGGCCATGTCCACTCAAGTTTTGAACATCTCCAAGGGTGGTGACTCCAGAACAACTATGGGCAACATGTTCCAGTGTTTGGGCATCCACACAGTAAGAAAAGTCTCTTCTTCTGTTCATATGGAATTTCATGTGCTTTAACTTGTGCTGCTTATCTCTTGTCCTGTTGCTGAGCGCCACGAAGAAGTCTGGCTCTGTCTTCCTTACACCTTCACATCAGGTATTTATGCATAGAGGTAGGATCTCCCTGATCTGATCCTTCTCCAGGGTGAACAGTCCCAGCTCCCTCAGCCTCTCCTTATATGAAAGATGCTCCAGTCCCTCAATCATCATTATGGCCCTTCACAGGACTCACTCCAGTGTGCCCTGTCTCTTGTACTGGGAAGCCCAGCACTGGACCCAGCACTCCAGATCTGGCCTCACCAGGGCTGAGGGGAGGGGAAGGATCACCTCCCTTGACCCACTGGCACCACTGTGCCTAATGCAGCCCAGGACACTGCTGGCTTTCCTTCTGATGAGTGAACATTGCTGATATTTCTTTGCTAGAGACTTCAATTCTTGACAAAATTCCAACGTATGTCAGTGCTGCAGAGTTATTCCCATTTTTTTCATTTTTTTTTTTTTTTACATAAACATGATAAGGGTTAAAAATATTGTTATATGCCACAACACTGCAGTGTTAGGCCTATAGTGTGCACAGTAAAGACTCAGCTTGAACTGCACTGTTAAAGAAAATTCAAAACCACAGATTGTGATGTGATTCTATTTATATTTTAACATTGGTAAAATATTTACTGTTCCTTTATGGTTTTACTTGGTTTTAGAAAGCAAGAAAAAGATCCAGTTTGGAAAATACTGGAAAGTTTTCATTAGAACTGTTGAAAAAGTCTAACTTACAAATGTCAAAATGCACCTGAGTCATCTATATAGTATGTTTTTATTTCTTTTCCTGTGTCTCTTCTGGTTTTCTGTAAGAGCTATTTCATAAGTGAGGGATTAGTTCCAGAGAGCTACAATGGTGTCTTTGCAAATATGTTATCAATCAGTTTTGCATGTGGATTTTCTATGTTTTTGAAAGCAATGCTGAAATTTGAAGCCTTTGCTTCCTCTCTGTGTTTTCTTTCAGTGCCTCTGCCCTATCAGCTTACCTGCTTGCACAATGTCCTTTCCTGCTTAAATTTCTCTCCTGTATTCTTTGGTTTATGTTCCAAGCTGCATGGATGATATATCATGTTCAATTGCTCTTCTTCTCTGCAGCTATGTAATTTGACCAGAGGTGCTAGTGAGTGCCTTTTGTAGAGGAGGCACAGAAGGCTGCTTATCACTGCCTTGCTGGGGTTTGACTCTGTGATTGTCCGAGCTACCAAATATGTGCACCATATTCTGCCTTGGAGTAACAGTTTTAAGTTAACTGGGGTAACCCTAACATCATTGGAGCTGCTGGGTGCTGTGACCTGCCACTCTACTGTATTTGTAACTGTGTGTTGCCTGCAGTGTTACAAAGAGCGTTCCTAGTAGTCAGTGATGCTGAGTATAAACAATTCACCTTCCAGTCGGTGTGAGGCCTGTGGTACCTTCCCAAATAATACAGTCAGGATAGTTCCTGAATGGTGTTGAGTACTTGGTTAAAATTAGCCAAAATCTTTTATATTCCAAGTAATTTATTTTCCTGCCCTTTGTGACATGTTTGGCTCTGGTGGCTATGTTCTGCCTGCATCTTGTGCTGTTTTCAGTAATACTGATTACCCTTCCCCTCACTTCTGTTGCAAACCATTATGACATGTCTTTTTACTGGTACGTGCTGCTTTCACACATGGATTGAGTTTCACCAGTGATCAAAACCAGATGGATCAGTCATGTGTGAGTACTAATTTAATCTGAGTGCTGCTGGGCTAATTGGAGTGGGCTAGTGGATGCGTTCCTTTCTTTTTCTTATACATAAATGAAAGTGTAATTTTAAATTGGACCTTGTCTTTCTGTTTCACTCTACAGAGAAGGGGCAAAAAAGGAGAACACAGTTTTTGAAAGGTCTGAATTTGGTGATTTTCTTGGGAGAACCATTTTCTCTATAAGATGCATTTCATGGGCTATGTTGGGTGCACCAGCTAGGGACCTGCCAGAAGTAGTGCTAATTCCAGGAGTAGCAACAGATAGTGGAAATCTCTGTTCAGAGCTTCCAGCAATGGAAGGGAGATAGCCATGTTCTGTGTTGTCATAAGGTTTTCCCCTGTCTTTCTGCAGAGTGTGTCCTGTATTAGCTAAGCTCTAAACAGCATTAAACACATTTTCTGCAGCTGCATAAGAAAGCTGCCCAGAGTGGCTATTTATCACTCATACTCTGACCCACTCAGACCCACACTACCTGTACAGAAAACTGATTGGGAGGGGATAATTCTTTGCAGTTTCTCATGAAAGAAACAGGAGGTTGTGAATGCTCCATCCCTGGCAGTGTTCAAGACCAGGTTGGACGAGGCCTTGGGTGATATGATTTAGTGTAAGGCATCCCTGCCCACGGCAGGGGGGTTGGAACTAGATGATCTTAAGGTCCTTTCCAACCCTAACTATTCTATGATTCTGTGATTCTATGATCAGACTTAGTCTTCACAGCTGTTTTCAATTCTTCCACTCA